CTGGGTTGAAAAAAGTAGTTTCTTTTGCCCCATCTGACAAAAAATAATAACCCTCTACATGTATTATGTGAGGTAGATTGAAAAATATAATTGGCTATTTATTAAGTTATTTGTTCAGCTGTGTTTCTCTCGTCGGACAACAGGAGTTCCGCCTCGAACATTATTGGCGTTACAATGATTGTCATCAATAAAAAATGAATGTGTGAAAAATATCAAAGTTGTTTGTATTTATTATTTATATAATATAATTGTTATGACCTTTTGTTTTTTACCAGGAATGTAGGTTTTAACACGGAATACATTTATGTAACACCACATTTTTGGCGGAAAGTTTTAAATATTTTTATAGAAAATGGATAGTAGCTGCAGAAGAAGCGATATTTGGATGCACTTTGAAATAACAGGCCCATCACGAGCAAAATGTCAACTCTGCAAGGTTGTTTAAGGTTTTGTTCACAATTTTACTGTTGAATTGTTAAATTTAAAGAGTTTATATTTTGTCAAATTAGTTTACATATTTGTTATTGTTACCATTTATCAAATTTTAATAAATGTTTTGATTGTAAATTGCCATTTTAGCATTATTTTGTGTTCATGTATGTTTTTTTCTGAACAACTGAATCACTGAATCAAATGACTCAAAACACCCGATTCACTTTGGTGAGTGATTCACTTTAACTCGAGTCAGTAAAATGAATCGAACTTTACATCACTACTGGTGACCCCCCTGAGGCTAACAGATTCAGATTCATTTATTTGCCATTTGCAGTAAAACCACATTGGAAAAACTGTGCAAGACTACCCCGGTGTGCACCAGACAGAGAAGACGACACACACCAGAGCTCTTGCCTAAATAAATTAATAAATATATAAAATCATTAGGATTCTGGAAAATTATTTCTTTTACAGCAGTTTTAGTTAAAAGTAAGTAGTTTTTAACGTTTTTAACTCAACACAATTTTAATTAGTGCTAAAACAGTTTGTTAAAAGGCTAGATGCTAACGGCTGGCAAGTAACCAGGGCGTTGCTACGGTAACAAACATAATATAGCATTAGCTCCGGATTTTCTGAGGTGGAAAACCAAGATGACTCAACTCTTAATCAAGACCAGTCCAGGACAAGACTAGGACCAGACCAGGACAAGACCAGGACAAGATCAGGACAAGACCAGGAGAAGACCAGGACAAGACCAGGACAAGATCAGGACAAGACCAGGAGAAGACCAGGACAAGACCAGGACAAGACCAGGAGAAGACCAGGACAAGACCAGGACAAGATCAGGACAAGACCAGGAGAAGACCAGGACAAGACCAGGACCAGACTAGGACCAGACCAGGAGAAGACCAGGACCAGACTAGAACCAGACCAGGAGAAGACTAGGACCAGACCAGGACCAGACTAGGACCAGACCAGGAGAAGACCAGGACAAGACTGGACCAGACCAGGACAAGACTGGACCAGACCAGGAGAAGACTAGGACCAGACCAGGACCAGACTAGAACCAGACCAGGAGAAGACCAGGACAAGACCAGTACCAGACTAGAACCAGACCAGGAGAAGACCAGGACAAGACCAGTACCAGTCCGGGACTAGTCCATGACCTGTCAAGGACCAGACCAGGACTAGTTTCAGACAAAAACAGGACCAGAACAGGACCAGACCAGAAACAGTCCAGGACAAGAGTAGGGCAAGTCCCGGACAAGTCCAGGACCAGCACCAGAACCAGAAAAGCGTGTTTAGCTGCCAAAGAGTACAAGTATAAAATCTGTAGCTTTAGCATCACAAAGAAGCAAGTCTAAAATAATACAATAAATCTCTAATAGTATGTTTACATCTGTACATGTTAGCAGCAGGAGGCTCTGTATGTGGTCGTTGTACAGTCTGACAGTGAGGGTGGGATCCCGGTAAATGAACAGTTTGAGGATAACTCTGGTTCCCACCGGTCTCAGATCAAACAGCTCTGGGAAAAATAAGTGTTTGTCCCGATCCAGAGAAGATAGAGATCCTTAAATCAGCGGCTCCATGACAGACGGACAATGCTTTTAATTTAGTTTAGCGTTTTATGCTAACCTCTTTGTGTTTACCGCCTGTTGGTGCCCAGGGACACCCACGACGACACCGGCTCATTTTTAGTATTTCCGCCTCTGAATCCAAATGTTTACTCCTCTGTCAATCTGTTATATAAACTGCACCGCATGTGTGTAACCAGGAATCTGAAATATGGTTTGGACAGACCGGGTTTAGCCCTCAGACTCCCAGAATACTGACACTGATTTATACTAGCTTCTTTATTATGCTAAAGCTAGAGATTTATACTAGCTTGTTTATTATGCTAAAGCTAGAGATTTTATACTAGCTTGTTTATTATGCTAAAGCTAGAGATTTTATACTAGCTTGTTTATTATGCTAAAGCTAGAGATTTTATACTAGCTTCTTTATTATGCTACCAACATAAAATTAGGTTCCGCAGCTTTAAATCACTCCGTGTGCCGTCTTTGTCCAAACAAAGTTCCAAAACTGAAATGATGTGACCTTTGTAATCTGCTGCTGCTGTTTGTTTTTGATAAGAGCGTTTTAAAGAGTTTCTGGTCCTTTTCCCGCCGCAGCAGAATTATGCATGAGCAGATGTCGCGATACCAGGGTTTTCCACTTTGCTCTTTTCCCATTCTGCTTTTTTCTGGTTTCCTTTTGGGTGAATGCAGATGGAGCCGAGCACTTTGCAGCTTTTTGGTCACGGCTAAAACTCAAGTTGGAAATCTAGGAGCAATAATGGACTGGGTTTTTAGTTTTAATGACCACGAAAAATCAGTAACATCTGCAGATTTAGGTCCATCTGATAATCAAAGGTATAGAGTCTAAAGCAGACTTGGAGATTGTTATCCGCATGTTTAAGACAAGATAAGATAGAGATCCTTTATTCGTCCTACAGTGGGGAAATTTCAGTGTTGCAGCGCACATACAGGACAGTAGTAAGAGTATACATAATATACTAGATAAGTAAGTAGCTGCTAGGTTTCATAGATAGCTGTAAATGTGATGGTACTTCCTGGTTTTTAGAGAGAACTAGAACTGCAGGGTTTTCAATATGGACCTCATAACATGCCTAGAACCAGGAAGTACGATTGCATTAGTCCAGACCAGTGTGGGCGGGTCCCGTCTCAAAAGTGTCCAAAATGACGTGCGCTGACATGCTGCAGTACCACCCCGGGCCTGTGGGGGTGGACCCGTTATAAGAATTAGCCAATGCTAACATATAGCATCTTCTTACCTCTGGAAAACGTCTTTACAGGATGGACCAAAAGTTGGCTCTTGGCCCAAAGCTCCGTTCCACATGTGTGTCAATGCTGAGTGTTCTGGACCAGTCTAGTTTAGTCGCTGTGGACTTTAGAAGTCTCTGTTTAAATGAATGGAGTTGCGCCGGCTGACGCATGCACAGATGTGTTTTTTCACCATTTTCTTGTGGGCGGGGCCACTTGCGGCCATTTTGGATAGCTCCAGTTGAGCACATTTTTTGGCCCATTAGTTTGAGCGGCGGAGATAGGCGTGACTCTGTTTGTTAATATTTACAGTCTATGGTCCTGCCTAGAACCAGGAAGTACCATCTCATTAGTCCCAGTGCTTTTCCTACACAAGGAAACACAAAGCGCCTCACAACCCACATCAGGCATAAATTATAAACATTAAAAAAATTGATTAAAACAAAGATCAACAGCACAAGAAATATTAAAAACAGAATAAAATCACAAGTAATGAAAAAATGAACGAATAGCCACAGTGCATTAAAAAGAGTAAATATAAAACCCTTCAGTTCTGATATAAGTCTCTCTGACTCTGAGGAGCACAGGGACTGGCCTCCTTCCGGGAGTCTGAGGAGCACAGGGACTGGCCTCCTGCTGGTCCCAGAGTCAGGATTAAACATGTGGAGGCTGCTTTTCAGACTCATGCTAAAATCTGGAGCAGTCTTCCTGAAGATGTGAGACTGACTTCTTCTCTGACAGCATTATCTTTTCTCTTTAACCAACTTCTATCTACTATTTGTGAGTTTTTTTTATCTTGTGTGGTTTGAATCTTTCTCCTTGTTTGCTCTATTCCACTGTTTCTTGATTTCAGCCTAAATCAGACATAATCCTTCTTTTTCATTCTAATCCCATGACACAGACAGATAGGACACAGACAAAGCGGTCCCTGTGCTCCGGGATTCGCGTGTCGTACCCATATCACTCTGAGCTCCACTGGAAAACCACGGCGTTCCGACATCTGGAGTCGCAGGACAGACTTCCCGGAGCTTTTCTCTCCCGATATAGACGTCGCGAGCGCAGTCAAAGAATGCTGTAATTAGCTGAGTAATGAGGAGCGTGGACCTGGATCAAAGGCGGACTCAGGAAGCAGATCCGGGTTTATGGGACTCGCTCGGTCTCGTACTTTCACTCAGAGTCGAGGCGGTGGTGGATGGGAGACACTGTAATACAAGACAGGAAGTTACCCTTTTGTAAATGATTATAATAATAATTCTTGTTTAGTGCTTTTTTTGGGACGCTCAAAGACATGGGAATAAAATAAAAAAGGGGGTTTATGGAAAAGCTTGTTTGAACAGATGGGTTTGAGACTGATTTAATGTTTGGGAGTGAGTCGGAGTTTCTACTGAGCAGTGGGAGTGAGGAGGTCTGAGGGGAGTGAGGAGGTCTGAGGGAGTGAGGAGGTCTGAGAGAGTGACGAGGTCTGAGAGAGTGAGGAGGTCTGAGAGAGTGAGGAGGTCTGAGAGAGTGAGGAGGTCTGAGGGAGTGAGGAGGTCTGAGTTTGTGGGGTCTGAGGGAGTGAGGAGGTCTGAGGGAGTGAGGAGGTCTGAGAGAGTGAGGAGGTCTGAGGGAGTGAGGAGGTCTGAGGGAGTGAGGAGGTCTGAGTCTGTGGGTCTGAGGGAGTGAGGAGGTCTGGGGGAGTGAGGAGGTCTGAGGGAGTGAGGAGGTCTGAGGGAGTGAGGAGGTCTGAGGGAGTGAGGAGGTCTAAGGGGAGTGAGGAGGTCTGAGAGAGTGAGGAGGTCTGAGGGAGTGAGGAGGTCTGAGGGAGTGAGGAGGTCTAAGGGGAGTGAGGAGGTCTGAGGGAGTGAGGAGGTCTGAGTCTGTGGGTCTGAGGGAGTGAGGAGGTCTGAGGGAGTGAGGAGGTCTGAGGGAGTGAGGAGGTCTGAGGGAGTGAGGAGGTCTAAGGGGAGTGAGGAGGTCTGAGGGAGTGAGGAGGTCTAAGGGGAGTGAGGAGGTCTGAGGGAGTGAGGAGGTCTGAGGGAGTGAGGAGGTCTGAGGGAGTGAGGAGGTCTGAGGGAGTGAGGAAGTCTGAGGGGAGTGAGGAGGTCTGAGGGAGTGAGGAGGTCTGAGGGAGTGAGGAGGTCTGAGGGAGTGAGGAGGTCTGAGGGAGTGAGGAGGTCTGAGAGAGTGAGGAGGTCTGAGGGAGTAGTGAGGAGGTCTGAGGGGAGTGAGGAGGTCTGAGGGAGTGAGGAGGTCTGAGAGAGTGAGGAGGTCTGAGGGAGTGAGGAGGTCTGAGAGAGTGAGGAGGTCTGGGGGAGTGAGGAGGTCTGAGGGAGTGAGGAGGTCTGAGGGAGTGAGGAGGTCTGAGTCTGTGGGTCTGAGAGTGAGGAGGTCTGAGGAGTGAGGAGGTCTGAGGGAGTGAGGAGGTCTGGGGGAGTGAGGAGGTCTGAGGGAGTGAGGAGGTCTGAGAGAGTGAGGAGGTCTGGGGGAGTGAGGAGGTCTGAGGGAGTGAGGAGGTCTGAGGGAGTGAGGAGGTCTGAGGGGAGTGAGGAGGTCTGAGGGGAGTGAGGAGGTCTGAGGGAGTGAGGAGGTCTGAGGGAGGGAGTGAGAGGTCTGGGGAGTGAGGAGGTCTGAGGGAGTGAGGAGGTCTGAGGGAGTGAGGAGGTCTGAGGGAGTGAGGAGGTCTGAGGGAGTGAGGAGGTCTGAGGGAGTGAGGAGGTCTGAGGGAGTGAGGAGGTCTGGGGGAGGAGGAGGTCTGAGGGAGTGAGGAGGTCTGAGGGAGTGAGGAGGTCTGAGGGAGTGAGGAGGTCTGAGGGAGTGAGGAGGTCTGAGGGAGTGAGGAGGTCTGAGGGAGTGAGGAGGTCTGAGGGAGTGAGGAGGTCTGAGGGAGTGAGGAGGTCTGAGGGAGTGAGGAGGTGTGAGGGAGTGAGGAGGTCTGAGGGGGGTGAGGAGGTCTGAGGGAGTGAGGAGGTCTGAGGGAGTGAGGAGGTCTGAGGGAGTGAGGAGGTCTAAGGGGAGTGAGGAGGTCTGAGGGAGTGAGGAGGTCTGAGGGGAGTGAGGAGGTCTGAGGGAGTGAGGAGGTCTGAGGGAGTGAGGAGGTCTGAGGGAGTGAGGAGGTCTGAGGGAGTGAGGAGGTCTGAGGGAGTGAGGAGGTCTGAGGGGGAGTGAGGAGGTCTGAGGGGAGTGAGGAGGTCTGAGGGAGTGAGGAGGTCTGAGGGAGTGAGGAGGTCTGAGGGATGGGAGGTCTGAGGAGGTCTGAGGGAGTGAGGAGGTCTGAGGGAGTGAGGAGGTCTGAGGGAGTGAGGAGGTCTGAGGGAGTGAGGAGGTCTGAGGGAGTGAGGAGGTCTGAGGGGAGTGAGGAGGTCTGAGGGGAGTGAGGAGGTCTGAGGGAGTGAGGAGGTCTGAGGGGAGTGAGGAGGTCTGAGGGAGTGAGGAGGTCTGAGGGAGTGAGGAGGTCTGAGGGAGTGAGGAGGTCTGAGGGAGTGAGGAGGTCTGAGGGAGTGAGGAGGTCTGAGGGGAGTGAGGAGGTCTGAGGGAGTGAGGAGGTCTGAGGGAGTGAGGAGGTCTGAGGGAGTGAGGAGGTCTGAGGGAGTGAGGAGGTCTGAGGGAGTGAGGAGGTCTGAGGGAGTGAGGAGGTCTGAGGGAGTGAGGAGGTCTGAGGGAGTGAGGAGTTGAGGAGGAGGAGGAGGTCTGAGGGAGTGAGGAGGTCTGAGGGAGAGTCTGAGGGGTGAGGAGTCTGAGGGAGTGAGGAGGTCTGAGGGAGTGAGGAGGTCTGAGGGAGTGAGGAGGTCTGAGGGAGTGAGGAGGTCTGGAGGGAGTGAGGAGGTCTGAGGGAGTGAGGAGGTCTGAGGGAGTGAGGAGGTCTGAGGGAGTGAGGAGGTCTGAGGGAGTGAGGAGGTCTGAGGGAGTGAGGAGGTCTGAGGGAGTGAGGAGGTCTGAGGGAGTGAGGAGGTCTGAGGGAGTGAGGAGGTCTGAGGGAGTGAGGAGGTCTGAGGGAGTGAGGAGGTCTGAGGGAGTGAGGAGGTCTGAGGGAGTGAGGAGGTCTGAGGAGGAGGTCTGAGGGAGTGAGGAGGTCTGAGGGAGTGAGGAGGTCTGAGGGAGTGAGGAGGTCTGAGGGAGTGAGGAGGTCTGAGGGAGTGAGGAGGTCTGAGGGAGTGAGGAGGTCTGAGGGAGGAGGAGTCTGAGGGAGTGAGGAGGTCTGAGGGAGTGAGGAGGTCTGGGGGAGTGAGGAGGTCTGAGGGAGTGAGGAAGTCTGAGGGGAGTGAGGAGGTCTGAGGGAGTGAGGAGGTCTGAGAGAGTGAGGAGGTCTGAGGGAGTGAGGAGGTCTGAGGGAGTGAGGAGGTCTGAGGGAGTGAGGAGGTCTGAGGGAGTGAGGAGGTCTGAGGGAGTGAGGAGGTCTGAGGGTCTGTGGGGTGGGGGATGATGAAGGAGGTCATTGATGATGGAGGAGCAGGTTAGGAGGTGAGAAGGAGCTCCTTGTATTGAGCCAGTGGAGTTGGTTGAGGACAGGGATGATGTGGTCTCTGGAGCGGGGAGGGTGTGAGTGAGGGGGAGGGTGTGGGGGAGGGTGAGGGTGTGAGTGTGGGGGAGGGTGGGCAGGTAAATCAGGTGTGGAGGTGATGATGATGAAGATGTCTGCAGTGGGGAGGAGGAAGGGCAGGTTATCATCGTCGCTGTGTGAAGAGTGAGGTCTTTCCTTCCTGCTGCTGTCAGACTGTACAATGAGTACTGCTGAGCCTGCACATGTCTGGTGTGGAAACAGTAAAGTCTGCAGTCACTTTATCTTTTTGTTCTGCTCATATTGTTCTGATTTACATTATATCTATAAATATACATATTATTTAAAAAAGTACCACAGACTGATAGTTTAGTACTTCAGTGTCGTGAGGATGAATAATGTGTAATAAATGTTCCTGTTTCAGTCTGAAAAGTTAAAATGAGCTCAGAGCGTCTCATGATGAAAGCTGAGGGTGACTCACTCGCCCCGGGGCACACAGACAGCCTCGCGCCTGCCCCAGAACCAGGACCAGGAAGTCACACACCAGGAAGTAACAGACCAGGAAGTAACAGACCAGGAAGTAACACACCAGGAAGAGATGTCACTCCCATATTCGTCCCGGAAGTTCAGTTTGATCCAATGATCATACGCAGCAGTAGATCACGTCACGGAATCTGGACGGAAGCGGAAGTGAATATAACAAATTACCTATTCATGCCAAAACTTAACCAGCCATTCCCATAAAATAATCCCAACCCTTAACCCTGACCTTAACCATCTTACTCAGACCACCTTAACCCTAACCTTAACCATCTTACTCAGACCACCTTAACTCTAACCTTAACCATCTTACTCAGACCACCTTAACCCTAACCTTAACCATCTTACTCAGACCCACCTTAACACTAACCTTAACCATCTTACTCAGACCACCTTAACTCTAACCTTAACCATCTTACTCAGACCACCTTAACCCTAACCTTAACCATCTTACTCAGACCACCTTAACCCTAACCTTAACCATCTTACTCAGACCACCTTAACCCTAACCTTAACCATCTTACTCAGACCACCTTAACCCTAACCTTAACCATCTTACTCAGACCACCTTAACCCTAACCTTAACCATCTTACTCAGACCACCTTAACCCTAACCTTAACCATCTTACTCAGACCACCTTAACCCTAACCTTAACCATCTTACTCAGACCACCTTAACCCTAACCTTAACCATCTTACTCAGACCACCTTAACCCTAACCTTAACCATCTTACTCAGACCACCTTAACCCTAACCTTAACCATCTTACTCAGACCCACCTTAACCCTAACCTTAACCATCTTACTCAGACCACCTTAACCCTAACCTTAACCATCTTACTCAGACCCACCTTAACCCTAACCTTAACCATCTTACTCAGACCCACCTTAACCCTAACCTTAACCATCTTACTCAGACCACCTTAACCCTAACCTTAACCATCTTACTCAGACCACCTTAACACTAACCTTAACCATCTTACTCAGACCACCTTAACCCTAACCTTAACCATCTTACTCAGACCCACCTTAACCCTAACCTTAACCATCTTACTCAGACCACCTTAACACTAACCTTAACCATCTTACTCAGACCACCTTAACCCTAACCTTAACCATCTTACTCAGACCACCTTAACCCTAACCTTAACCATCTTACTCAGACCACCTTAACCCTAACCTTAACCATCTTACTCAGACCACCTTAACCCTAACCTTAACCATCTTACTCAGACCACCTTAACCCTAACCTTAACCATCTTACTCAGACCACCTTAACCCTAACCTTAACCATCTTAATCAGACCACCTTAACCCTAACCTTAACCATCTTACTCAGACCCACCTTAACCCTAACCTTAACCATCTTACTCAGACCACCTTAACCTTAACCATCTTACTCAGACCCACCTTAACCCTAACCTTAACCATCTTACTCAGACCCACCTTAACCCTAACCTTAACCATCTTACTCAGACCACCTTAACTCTAACCTTAACCATCTTACTCAGACCACCTTAACCCTAACCTTAACCATCTTACTCAGACCACCTTAACCCTAACCTTAACCATCTTACTCAGACCACCTTAACCCTAACCTTAACCATCTTACTCAGACCACCTTAACCCTAACCTTAACCATCGTACTCAGACCACCTTAACCCTAACCTTAACCATCTTACTCAGACCACCTTAACCCTAACCTTAACCATCTTACTCAGACCACCTTAACCCTAACCTTAACCATCTTACTCAGACCACCTTAACCCTAACCTTAACCATCTTACTCAGACCACCTTAACCCTGACCTTAACCATCTTACTCAGACCACCTTAACCCTAACCTTAACCATCTTACTCAGACCACCTTAACCCTAACCTTAACCATCTTACTCAGACCACCTTAACTCTAACCTTAACCATCTTACTCAGACCACCTTAACCCTAACCTTAACCATCTTACTCAGACCACCTTAACCCTAACCTTAACCATCTTACTCAGACCACCTTAACCCTAACCTTAACCATCTTACTCAGACCACCTTAACCCTAACCTTAACCATCTTACTCAGACCACCTTAACCCTGACCTTAACCATCTTACTCAGACCACCTTAACCCTAACCTTAACCATCTTACTCAGACCACCTTAACCCTAACCTTAACCATCTTACTCAGACCCACCTTAACCCTAACCTTAACCATCTTACTCAGACCACCTTAACCCTAACCTTAACCATCTTACTCAGACCACCTTAACCCTAACCTTAACCATCTTACTCAGACCACCTTAACCCTAACCTTAACCATCTCACTCAGACCACCTTAACCCTAACCTTAACCATCTTACTCAGACCACCTTAACCCTAACCTTAACCATCTCACTCAGACCACCTTAACTTAACCAGTCACCATTTAAGGACATATTAAACTTTTTGACATGCGCAAACTGAACTTCCGGACGAATCCGGTTTCCGGGACGAATACGGGAGTGACAAGTAACAGACCAGGAAGTCACAGACAACAAATGTGTCTGCAGCTGGTGATTTTCAAATTGGTGGAAAAACTTTATATTTTCTACTTATTCTTCCACATTTTAATCCAAACGTAATATTTTTTGGACTACTCTTTATTCTTTCTCTCTTTTCTTGAAATCCATAAATGGCTAAAAGCAGCTCCTGGTTTGTCTCATGATGGAAGCTGCCGGTGACTCACAGGCCTCGGGACACAGGGACTCCCCCACGCCTCCACCTACACCTCCCCCATGCCTCCCCCACGCCTCCTCAATTGTCAAGCTGTGGATTCTCCAACACACATCAGAGAATCAAAGACAAGAGTTTGTGCTGAATTTGCTGGTTGTAGTTTGTCGGAGAATGTGATAGTAAAATAATCTGTTCTGGTTCAATCCAAATATGAAGAAACTGAAGCCGGAGCAAGAGGAATGTTTAGTAAATGTCATTGAAGCAAAGATGTTGTGGCTCTACTCCCCACGGGCTCCGTTAGTGACAAAGGAGATGGCTAAAGCTAGGCTACATGCTAAAGCTAGGCTACATGCTAAATGCCTCACTCACTCAGGCTCATTACATACGTCACAGTAAACTCGGATCCAATCGTTTCAATCAGAGTTAACCCCTCCCACCTCTCCACTGTTTGAACTAAACTCTCTGCTCTTATTGGACGAGCACGTATCAGTAGAATGATTGACAGTTGGGAGGACCAATCTTGATGGGAAGTAGAAAATCCTCCTATCCACCTTCACCCAGGCCTCAGCAGGACCAGAGAGCTTCTCCTCAGACAGAATCCGACCGTCACAAACTCAGCCTCACACTGACGATGAAAGCAGCAGGACCGGGAGCGGACTCAGGGCGTGGCTTTCACTTCACACAAACTTTAGTGTTTTCCACGAGTCCTGACGTCACCGCCGCTCGTTTACAGATCCCAAAATAAACACAGGAAACAACGCGATCCAAAGAAAGTTGGCCTGGACTGAACAGAGAGGAGGCCAAGGAAAAAAGACCTTTTTTTGGCCACTATGAGTATTTTTGAACAGTCCGTCCGCTCGGAATAACCACTGCCAGTAATATCAGCTGGAGATGAATAATTAGACCAATGGGGAGGAGCCTCAGGGATTTGAATTCATGTGTCCAATCAGGAGGCTGTGGGGGCGGGTCTAACTGCTGTTGACAAAAATCGTCACAGATCAGACCTGGTTCAGACCTCATTGAAAGGTCTGGATAATGGGAGGACTGTGGGAGGACAGTGGGAGGACAGTGGGAGGACTGTGGGAGGACTGTGGGAGGACTGTGGGAGGACAGTGGGAGGACTGTGGGAGGACTGTGGGAGGGCAGTGGGAGGACAGTGGGAGGACTGTGGGAGGACAGTGGGAGGACTGTGGGAGGACTGTGGGAGGGCAGTGGGAGGACTGTGGGAGGACTGTGGGAGGACTGTGGGAGGACTGTGGGAGGACAGTGGGAGGACTGTGGGAGGACAGTGGGAGGACTGTGGGAGGACTGTGGGAGGACAGTGGGAGGACTGTGGGAGGACAGTGGGAGGACTGTGGGAGGACTGTGGGAGGACAGTGGGAGGACTGTGGGAGGACAGTGGGAGGACTGTGGGAGGACTGTGGGAGGACTGTGGGAGGACAGTGGGAGGACAGTGGGAGGACTGTGGGAGGACAGTGGGAGGACAGTGGGAGGACTGTGGGGGACAGTGGGAGGACTGGGAGGACTGGGAGGACTGGGAGGACAGTGGGAGGACAGTGGGAGGACTGTGGGAGGACAGTGGGAGGACAGTGGGAGGACTGTGGGAGGACTGTGGGAGGACAGTGGGAGGACAGTGGGACGTGGACAGTGGGAGGACAGTGGGAGGACAGTGGGAGGACTGTGGGAGGACTGTGGGAGGACTGTGGGAGGACTGTGGGAGGACTGTGGGAGGACTGTGGGAGGACTGTGGTAGGACTGTGGGAGGACAGTGGGAGGACTGTGGGAGGACAGTGGGAGGACAGTGGGAGGACTGTGGGAGGACGTGGGAGACTGTGGGAGGACTGTGGGAGGACTGTGGGAGGACTGTGGGGGGACTGTGGGAGGACTGTGGGAGGACTGTGGGAGGACTGTGGGAGGACTGTGGGAGGACTGTGGGAGGACTGTGGGAGGACTGTGGGAGGACTGTGGGAGGACTGTGGGAGGACTGTGGGAGGACTGTGGGAGGACTGTGGGAGGACTGTGGGAGGACGTGGGAGGACTGTGGGAGGACTGTGGGAGGACTGTGGAGGACAGTGGGAGGACTGTGGGAGGACAGTGGGGAGGACTGTGGGAGGACAGTGGGAGGACTGTGGGAGGACTGTGGGAGGACTGTGGGAGGACTGTGGGAGGACTGTGGGAGGACTGTGGAGGACGTGAGGGAGGACAGTGGGAGGACTGTGGGAGGACTGTGGGAGGACTGTGGAGGACTGTGGTAGGACTGTGGGGAGGACAGTGGGAGGACTGTGGGAGGACAGTGGGAGGACTGTGGAGGACGTGGGAGGACTGTGGGACGGGACTGTGGGAGGACTGGGAGGACTGTGGGGACGTGGGAGGACTGTGGGAGGACGTGGGAGGACTGTGGGAGGACTGTGGGAGGACAGTGGGAGGACTGTGGGAGGACTGTGGGAGGACTGTGGGAGGACTGTGGGAGGACTGTGGGAGGACTGTGGGAGGACTGTGGGAGGACTGTGGGAGGACAGTGGGAGGACTGTGGGAGGACTGTGGGAGGACTGTGGGAGGACTGTGGGAGGACTGTGGGAGGACTGTGGGAGGGACTGTGGGAGGGACTGTGGGAGGACTGTGGGAGGACGTGGGAGGACTGTGGGAGGACTGTGGGAGGACAGTGGGAGGACTGTGGGAGGACTGTGGGAGGACTGTGGGAGGGACTGTGGGAGGACTGTGGGAGGACAGTGGGAGGACTGTGGGAGGACTGTGGGAGGACTGTGGGAGGACTGTGGGAGGACAGTGGGAGGACTGTGGGAGGACAGTGGGAGGACTGTGGGAGGACTGTGGGAGGACTGTGGGAGGACAGTGGGAGGACTGTGGGAGGACAGTGGGAGGACTGTGGGAGGACTGTGGGAGGACAGTGGGAGGACTGTGGGAGGACTGTGGGAGGACTGTGGGAGGACTGTGGGAGGACTGTGGGAGGACTGTGGGAGGACTGTGGGAGGACTGTGGGAGGACTGTGGTAGGACTGTGGGAGGACAGTGGGAGGACTGTGGGAGGACAGTGGGAGGACTGGGAGCAGATTGTGGGCGTGGTTTTCAGTTCTCACGGAGCGGAGAGTTTTCCACGGCTCGTGTCGTCACCGCCGCTCACTCACAGATCCCAAAATAACCACAGGAAGCGACGGCGATCCGGAGAAAGTTGGCCCGGACTGAACAGCGGCAGCAGCTGCAGAGGAGCTGAGGTCGAGTCCCACACAAGAGCTCTTTGTCCAGTCACGAGCACAGTTCACACGGTCGTGACGAGAGCTTTGTGAGGTTTGTGAGGTTTGTGAGGTTTGTGTGGTTTGTGAGGTTTGTGAGGTTTGTGAGGTTTGTGAGGTTTGTGTGGTTTGTGAGGTTTGTGAGGTTTGTGTGGTTTGTGAGGTTTGTGAGGTTTGTGAGGTTTGTGAGGTTTGTGTGGTTTGTGAGGTTTGTGAGGTTTGTGAGGTTTGTGTGGTTTGTGAGGTTTGTGAGGTTTGTGAGGTTTGTGAGGTTTGTGTGGTTTGTGAGGTTTGTGAGGTTTGTGAGGTTTGTGAGGTTTGTGAGGTTTGTGTGGTTTGTGAGGTTTGTGAGGTTTGTGAGGTTTGTGAGGTTTGTGTGGTTTGTGAGGTTTGTGAGGTTTGTGAGGTTTGTGAGGTTTGTGAGGTTTGTGAGGTTTGTGTGGTTTGTGAGGTTTGTGAGGTTTGTGAGGTTTGTGTGGTTTGTGAGGTTTGTGAGGTTTGTGTGGTTTGTGAGGTTTGTGAGGTTTGTGTGGTTTGTGTGGTTTGTGAGGTTTGTGAGGTTTGTGAGGTTTGTGAGGTTTGTGAGGTTTGTGAGGTTTGTGAGGTTTGTGTGGTTTGTGAGGTTTGTGAGGTTTGTGTGGTTTGTGAGGTTTGTGAGGTTTGTGAGGTTTGTGAGGTTTGTGTGGTTTGTGTGGTTTGTGAGGTTTGTGAGGTTTGTGTGGTTTGTGAGGTTTGTGAGGTTTGTGTGGTTTGTGTGGTTTGTGAGGTTTGTGAGGTTTGTGAGGTTTGTGAGGTTTGTGAGGTTTGTGAGGTTTGTGAGGTTTGTGAGGTTTGTGTGGTTTGTGAGGTTTGTGAGGTTTGTGAGGTTTGTGAGGTTTGTGAGGTTTGTGTGGAGCCGGAGCCGGTCTGGTTTCTGTCGATGTTTAGACCTGTTTATTTGAACACGTCTGAGAGTTTGTGATGTCATAAGACGGTGGACAGGGACTAACATAACTGATATATCAGGCAGGTCAAACTCAGGCTGGAGGGCCCAGTCCGGCCCACAAGACCATTTTTAGTGGTTTTTTTATCGTTATTATTAATTTGGTTAAAATGTCTTGGTCGCCCATAACCATCAATCCTCCAACACATCATCAGAAGTTAGATATGGAACAGTATTTGTCCAGTTTTGGTTAAATCTAAACAAGTTTTATTTTCAGAAAATCCATCAGAAAGTCAAAACATAGCAAAACATAAATATAAGTGTCATGAAAAGAGTCATGTGAAAACACCTTCATAATGATTTATTAAATAAGAAATCGCTTCTATTCTTTTAGCCCCAGACCATTTTATTTTATTCGGCCCCTGATCAAAGTGAGGCTGACACTTCTGTATCATATTGTCTGGAGGGTGTAGCTAGCTTAAACCTGTCTCCACATGGACTAGAGGCCACTCGCGGTACTGCAGCAGAGATATCCCCATAGACCTCAGTGTGAACTAAAACGTCCTCAGTTATTAACTACGTTTCTATGAGTCCTGAATGACCACCAGAGGGCAGAGCGTAGCACTGAATGACCCCGTGACCCCCACAGCCTTGAGAGGGCGGGGCTCCGATACTCAACGATAAACGATTCATTGTGTTATTGCTTTTACAAAGAATAAAACACAAGAAGGAAAACAGGAAGAGTGTGATGAAGGAGGACTGCCTCCTACTGGTCATCGGGCGGTCATTACTCAGACTGTGCATGTGCTCAAAGGATCATTCAGTTCTGTGCGCCGCCCTCTGGGGGTCAGGAGGAGGAACTACGGCTTTAACAAAGCTTTCTATAAATCCACACTTTTTTACCACAATCTGGGCTCTCGCTTTTTCTCTTTTCTGTCTGAAAAATCTGTCCCCGACAAAAACAAAAACAGATGTTTTCACTTCTACATGAGTACAGTATATACAGTAGTCCTGCTAATGATACAACATGCTTACTGCTACTGCTACTGCTACTGCTACTGCTACTACTGCTACTGCTACTGCTACTGCTACTGCTACTGCTGCTACTGCTACTACTACTACTGCTACTGCTACTACTGCTGTTACTACTGCTACTGCTACTGCTACT